AGGAGCCTTGTAAGGTTTTGTTTAGGGCTGCAGGGACGCGGACGTTGATGTGATCTTATGCTGTTGCTTATGCCTTCAGCAAGGCATCCCATCTATTAATTGTGCGAGTAAGATGCTTCAACCTTTGCCTTGTACGCAGCGCCTCTAAAGCTTCAGCCTTACACCGCTTCATACCCTAAACTAGCCCTAAACCATCCTAAACCCTACAATTTGGCAGCTGCTCCTACGCAGACAAGGTGACACAACGTCAGCATTCCAGATAAAGTCCGATTAGCATTTGGACTCGGCCTGATCTCGAGCTCGGGACGTGAAAATGAAATTTAGGAATCAGAACTTCTGGCTTGGGCGCCCGTGGGCCTGCTCAAGGTGGCAGTCTACTACTGAATGAGTTGCGTATCGCACCACGGGCCTGTTCTGGACCTGCCCTAAGCTGCAAACCGCCGCGCCCGAAGCGCGGGGCACCCCAAATGGAACGGTATCCCTCAGCCCGTTATGGCCCTGTCCATTTTTTGGACATGTAAGGTGCAATGGGGCGTCATGATTTGCTGTAATGAAGAAGTAGTAGCCGTGAGGTTTAGTCTGCAAGTCATTGCCTCCGTATTCTTTGCCGTATATCGTATATTGTGCAAGTACACTGTGGGAATATCACTCCTGTTACGTTCTATCGTGCCTGGTGCGCACCTGTGGTTGCGAGAACTGGTTGAGCGCCTAGGGCTGGCATACGACGCCCGTTCCACAAACATGTTTCAGGAAAACCTGGCACCATCTAGCACCCAAAATCCTCAACCATAATCCGTAAGCAGCATCCGCAGCAGCGCGAGGCAGAGGCAGCAGCAGAAGGCAAAGACAGAAGCACCGTCAAACCTGGCACCATCTAGCACCCAAAATCCTCAACCATAATCCGAGTAACCCTGCTCCTGGTGTAGAGTTTAGGGATTGAGGTTTAGGAATTAGGCTTTAGAGCTTAGGGTTTTCGGTTTAGGGTGACGGAGCCGCCGGAGCAGCCGGGAGACTCCGTTCCCCTGCGACGTCTCCCTCTCCGGGAATCCGTCGCACCTCGTGTTTTGGTTTGGGCAGGGTTTGGGTATTCAGGGTTTAGGTTTAAGGGACTTACGATGTAGGGTCTAGGAGGGTGATTATTGCAGAAGCCCAAATAATTGCCGGGTTTATTCCACAGGGTTCCTTATAATTCCAGTGTCATATACCCCAAAACCCTGTTCCAGTTGTTCAGGCCCCTATATTAGGAGTTTGAGATTTCGAACGTCGGGGTTTGGGATTCGCAGTTGCGCAGGGTTCTGGCTCACGTTTGCTTTAGTAGGGTTCGAGGTTCCGGTGCAGTTGCTGACAACATTCATCGGATTGATGTTATTGTGATTTTGCGTGGGGGTTTGAGCACGTCAGGTTTGGGATGAATGTTCTCGGTGCTTGGGTTGAAGGATTTTACGGCATGGTGTCTTCGGGCTTGCGAACACTGCATGCTGAAACCCACGTCTTGGCCTGAGCTATGTGGGCATGCTAATGCACTGCATCCTTGGCATGAGAAGGTCTTGATACAGTGCACCTCGCTTCCGCCTTTTTTTGTTCACCCTGCTGCCGAAAGCCTAACTGATTAATTACCACTATCATTCTTCAGCGTTCCTTAATATAAAGATATAGTCGAAAGCAGGCCAAAACCCTCGGGCACGTGGCAACATGTAGAGCTTTTAAGGCGTCTGCTTTCGAGTTTACGGCTTCCCGAAACCCAATCAATCAGGCAGGTAACAACAGCAGTAATGAATGCAGAAGCCAAATCATTGCTAGTATTGTCCCTTTGGGCTCCTTAATCTAGTTTATGCCATCATATACCACCAAAGCATTGGCAATTTCACTGAAGCTCCTACATCACACCCTAAAGTCGCAGAGGATTAATCCAAACGGCCTTGACTACGTAACTGACACGCTTCTTTGCCACCTGCCGCCAGGCGGCGGGAGCTGAAACTGGCTCAGCTGGCTGGTCTGATCTGAGGGTTGGTTTGTGCAAGTAAGTGTAAGGTTCGCCCTGAGAACAGAGAACAGTACGTCCTTCCTTTCTTGACCCCGAAATCCTGAACTCCAGTCTATTGGAGCCGGGGCTTCGAAACGTTTGGCCTCAGCCCCTCAGAAGCCCGTCCCTGAGCCTGCGTAAAGTATTGAATCCTCTGGACGTGTGTAACAGCTTTGTAAGCGTAGGCCTGCCACGTTGGAAGCTTTGGGCTTTGGCGCAGTGCCTGCATGGCGCCTGGCATAGGCGAAAAAGAGCTCGACCGTGCGTTTAGTCACCGAAAGGACGAGTGATATTGAGACTGAAACTCACACTGGGAGTGAGTGTGGGGGTGCAGCTCCGGTTTGTTTGGAGGGAGCGGCGAGCGGTAGCATTCCGCGCTTTGACCGGCCGCACCCTGCGAGATTCCTCCGCACAGTAATCAACGTTGCTGTTTAAGCCTGGCTGCTGTTTGTGTGTTTGGAGGATGCGGCGAGCGAGTATATCTGTATGTATGTATGTATGTGTGTATGTGTGTATATGTATTTATGTATAAAGTGTACCGACCTATCTAGCTAACTACCTACGTACCTAATTATCTGTCGATGTCTCTGTCTACCTATCTACCTCTCTAACTTCTGATCTATCTATCTCTCTATCTATCTATCTACCTACCTATCTATCTATCTATCTGTATCTATTTACCTATCTATGTCTATCTATCTACCTATCATCTACCTATTTATCTATCGACCTGTCTATGTATTTATTTATCTGTCTATCTATATAGATTGACAGTTGATACATATAAACAAATGAATTAACAGGCAAATGGGTATGTATATATACATATATATGTAGCATGTATATATACATATACATATACATATACATATATATATATATACATATATGTAGCACGTATATATACATTTGCATATATGGCCACAGGTCTATGTATATATATATATATACATATACTTATGCACACACACACACACATAAACAAATAAATATAGCAACAAATAAAGAAAGACATACATAAATATATATATATATATATATATAGCACCTATATTCATATATATATATATATATACATATATACAGATACATAGATAGATAGATAGATAGATAGATAGATAACTTAGATTATATTATTTCAGATTATTAGATTAGATTTGACTAGGTTTGAGTAGATTCGATTAGATTGGATAGATAGATAAGAGATAGATAGATAGAGAGAGCGGGAGAGAGAGAGATAGATAGATAGATAGATAGATATATATATATATATTTGTATGTAAACGCTCTCCTGTTATTTACGTACCTTCATACTGAAATATCCTCTTCTACTCGCAGGCGTGATCATGCGTGGCAAACCCAGATTTGATAAAGCTCCTGAATTCTGCGAGCAACGAGAAAGGCTGCGTGATGTCTGCGAGCGGTAGCAGTCCGCGCTTCGACCGGCAGACCGAGAAGACACTTTTCCGAATGCAACTGCATGTATACAGTAGTGCTACTGATAGGTGCAGCAGTCGTCGTCCTCGTAGTAGTAGTACTAGTAGTACTAGTAGTACTAGTAGTACTACTAGTACTACTTGTCTGCCAGAGCGGGTGGGGTGACTTCTGAGTTGTATGGTAACACTGCTTGCGTATTTAAGGCTCCCAAGGGCTGCGCCACAACAGCATGGCTTCGAGCATTCATCGCCTCGTCCTGGACGAGGCCCGGTTTCCGGATGAGCGTGTCAACCAAGTGGAGCTTGCAACCTGCACGTCATGCCCACGCGTGGTGAGTTTCTGCCTGCACTGTGTTTCAAGCATGCTCAGTCTGACGCCTTTCCGCAGCTCGGACATGTTAGCGCATTGCAGGGGCCCGCAGCTTTAGATGGCTGGAATCATGGAGATGCAGGAGCGCCGATTGCCCAACCTATCTCAGGAGCTTGCCGATGTCCGAGCTCAGCTCCATCACCTTCGGCAAGTTCGTGACGCGGTCATTACTTGGCTGGACTATGCCAAGAATCGCGGCTATACGTCCGACGAAATTGTCGCTGGAGTGCGTGAAATCGTCGTCGACGACATCCTGTCCTTGTCGCCGGCAGACTCTCCTCCCAAGTGGCAGCTTCTGCCAACGCCGTTGGCACGCTTACCTCTGGCCGTATCAGGCCATGCGTCCCAGGCAGTGTCTTCGATGCAGGATTGCGCGCCCACTCAGCTGGACGAGGACTGCCTTCAAACACAAGAAGTCTGCCCGGAGCCTGCGTCTCCAGCGGGCTTGCAGGATGCGATCGCTTCCGGCCAGAGCTTTCATTTGCCAGGCTCGAATCCAGCAAGGTACCTCCCTCCTGATTTTGTGCACCAGTGCCTTGGCGAAGAGTTTACGCCTCCAAGCAGATCCAGATCTCCGCCAATGAGCCAGGCTCGGGCTCACATTTGTTCGTGTCGGCTTTGTTGCACGGCTGTACGCGCTACCCGCGACCCCTTCCTCCAATGTCGTCCTTGCAGGCCGGCCGCTCAAGACCACATGTCCTGGGAAGCACCGCTTCGACGTCGCGGGGCTCGCCTGTCCATGTCGACCTAAGCCTCTTCGACCGTGCCTGGTGAGGTAGTCAGTCGGCGTGGCGACCTGATCTCAATTCGATGTTCCTTGCAAATGCATCTGCTTTTAACCAGAAAAAGGTATGCCTGCAATGCTTTCGGTACGTATGCCGAATCCTTTTGGGACTCTGCAGCAGTGTTTGTGAAGAAGCATCAGTTCTCTAGTGACTCTAGTTCAACTTTCGGGACAGTTTCTGTTGCGCCAGCTGACGAGTGCCTTGCCGTGTTCATGCGCGTCTGTTCTGCAAAGCTAACCTTCTCAGCTTTTTCAGGACTTGGCATCTTCTGCGTATCTTCGCACGACCCCTGATGTGGCAGTCGAATAAAAGTTATCTCAGCCTCGATAGGTGCAGTGAGCAGAGTATCTCAGTATCTCACAGCGTACTAGGGGGCGATCGACCGCATGGCAGACATAGTACCGCTGGAGGCGGTTCTCCGAGATGCGGACCCTTCTGGTCTCCTGCAAGAGACCGACATACAGACGCTGGCGTCGGCTGTCCGTCGGGCAATGGACTCCTGGACGCTGACTTTCCCCGGCCGCACTTGCCTTGCCTGCGGCAAACGGATAGGAGCTGTCGCGGCAAAGAGCCAGCGTGCTCTGGTGCTGGACGTGGATGGCCTTCATGACGCACAGCATATACCCTCCAGGTGCCGGCACAAGAGCTGCCCGAGGAAAGGCTGCTACGTCTGGCACAACTTCACAGTAATTGACAAGACTCGTCGTGACTGGACTCTCATCAACAAGCAATCTTTGCCTTCCATCATCATGACTTCGCAAAAGTTTGGCATCACCAGGCGATGGTATGTGCAGTACTCTCGTCGCTTGGCCGTCCACTTTTCTTCCTTCTGGGGGGAGGCGAAGATTCATTGGACGGAGCGCTGGGGCAGAAAGCTGTCTTTCAACCGGCTAAAGCTCCGATTGCAGGACGCTTGGTTCAAGACACGTATGCTGGTCCGGATCATGCAGCTGCCCACAAAGCCTTCCGGATGTTGGGTAGTGTCTGATGATTTGGAGAAGTCGGTGGAGCGTCTCAGAGGCGTGTATGACGACTTCATGCAGCGCCGTCGCCAAGAGCAGGCAAGGGGCGCAGGAGACATCACCGGCATTGTTTTAGATGGGCACATTAAAGCCGGTCGCCGCAGGCGCTGCGGCGTGCCTCTCATCCACGGGGTATGGTGCGAGCCTCTGCAGGCATGGTGCCTCACAAACTGTCCCAAAACGCCAGGCCGAAAATCGCGGTTGTGCAAAGACCATGCTGCCCTGGCCTCTGCAGCTGCAAGCAACCCTCTCTCTGATCGGGTCCTCGATGTGCAGCGTAGACAGCCGCTCTCGAAGCAGCGGCATGACTTGCTGACGGTGCGAACTTGCAGCGCCGACTCTGCCCGCACTGAAACTTTGAAGCTCAGAGACTGCAGTCGGCCGTGGGTTGATGCTATTCAGCAATTTCTTTGCAAATGCTCTGCTGCGGGACAGGCCCGAGCTGTACAGGTGGCAGGTGAGTCGGGTGCGCAAGAACAAGAGGAGTGGCAGGGCACGATTTTCGACGACGACATGACTCTTCAAGAGTTGAAGGACTTGACCTGCCGCACTCACAAGCACGGGAGCAATCCCTGTCCAGCGCAAAGGCTTCGGCCCAGCAAAAATGGAGGCTTGTTGGTTGCCTGCCATTCCAATGGCCTCATCCTGGACCTTGTTGAATTCCACGGAGCTGAATCATTGCCGCAACGCTACTGCTTCCTGGCTCGGCTTAAGAAGGCATTTCCTGCTTTGCGGGTCGTGGTGCATGACGACGCATGCCACCTCCGCCAGTTCGCTGGAAATCGAGCGTCTTGGGGGTCCCTTGAAGCCAGCCTGGCCTACCCGCAGATGCAGTATGTCGTGGATAAATTCCACGCTCGTGGGCACGTGGACCCATGGTGCAAGCAGAATTGTCACCCCGAGGCAGCGGGCAACAAGGAGCTGATTCAGCAAATCAACACTTCGGTGTGTGAGATCACTTTTGCTTGGCTTTCCCGCTTCAAGCAGATGACTCGAAAAATGAACCGGTGGACCTACTGGTTTTTCGTGCAGGAGGTCGTGGATGAGCGCAACTGCCAGATGCTAAACACCGGTGCAGCTCACAATGCAGCACTCAGCTTCACTGCTCCACCGGCCGAGGCTTCCTTCATCTCTGCATCGCAGCCTTCTGGCATAGCTGGAGATGCGCATAGTGGAAGTGAAAGCAGCTCTAGCTCCTCTTCCTCGTCGAGTAGCGACGATGACGACGATGATGCGGACAGCGCCAGCGACTCGCCGTAATTCGCAGTGGCCTGAAACTCGATCGTTTGCGCCAGATGATCTGTGCACGGCCAGTGACAGCAGCAAGCATAAGCATGGTCAGACGTACGCTGACTCCCATGTACACTGGAATCTACGCCACACGCACGCACGGTGCTTTGATTTGCTGTCGCTCGCACTGGCTCAAGCAAGTTCTTCCGTCTGCTGCACTGTCGCGCCTCTTCGCCCCCCCCCCCAAGCCGGCCTTAAAGGTCTTCTGCGAATCATGGCCATGCCCCCTACCGAGCCGAAGTGTCAGTTCAAGGAGGACGACGCCAGCGGGTCTAGCCTGTTGCCAGGGTTCCATGATCCCTTAAAAGACATTTTGCTGCCCGGGCAGTGTGCATTCTCTGATTCAGAATGGAAACGTCTTTTGCAAGATGCTATAACTGTTTGTATACGCTTTCCATGCACTCTGCAGGAGATGCGTGCTTCTTGGAAGATCGTGGAAGAGAAGTTTGCGCCGCGAACAATCTTCCTGGACAGAGGCTATCAGTACATCCTCACCCATGCCATTCGATCATCCAACCACCCCCTGGTCGCGGGCATGACTTTTCTCGCAAGTCAGGCTGCCTTGATGAATGGTGCCTCTGTGGACATCTTCCCAGGCTCCCAGAGCCCGTTGAACGTCATGGCGCTCCTGGTCAACTACCCGCAGACGCGAAAAAGCCAAAACACTAAGCTCTGCAAGGCATTGAGCGAAGAGCTCGATAAGGCCATCGCCAAGAAGGCCGAGAACCTTGCAGCTGCGGCTTCTGGCGATGCCGGCGAAGACCATGCTGCCCGCCCCGATCGCAGACGGCGACTCGTCGTGGGTGAGGAAGGCATCGGCCCGCCCCCCAAGCAACCTCGAGTCCGACTTGCCAGTGCAGCGATCTCCAGCTTCACACCCGAAGTTTTCTTCCAACGCATGGCCGGTGACTTCCAGCAGGTGGAGAACCTCAGAGACCTGGACGTGGATGAACCTGGGTTGGAAGGTAGTCTGCACTTTGGCCGGGTTGTTAATGTCGACGAAGTCTATGCAACATTTGCTAGCTTCGGTCTCATCAACGACGACTCGCGCCGCACCTCCGCAAGCCTTTTGGCTGTGAACCAGTATGCTGGTCAGCTGAATAGGTTTTTGCAGTTTGGGGAGGCATCCAAGGCGACCCGAACAAGGGGTACATATGGGGAAGGCTCCGTGCCCTACTACGTCAATGACGTTCCTTGGCAACATGCACCCCGAGATTTTCATTCCCATGGAGCGAGGCCTCGTGGGTGGACACACCGGGCAGACCAAGGAGCGCCTCATGGCTTACTCCGCATCGCCAATTCCGCCGCATGCTCCGATTCCTGACGATTACGTGGCCCCAGCAGGCTTTGAGAAGTGGGTTTGGGCAGAGCTGGACCAGGAGTTAGCTGTGATGTGTGGATTGCAGTCAGTCATCGGGGATCCAGAGGCGGCCAAGCGGTTGGCTGCCGATCCGGAATGCAAGGTCCTGCAGGTACGCTTGGGTGATGTTGCTGTGGAGGAGGCCATTGTCGACGGCGGTCGCTATCTGCCGGACAGCCTGGGGTACGACTTTGTGTTGCCTGACGGCGTTCCATCCCGGCTCCGCTTTGAGATTTCGCTTCAAGGAGCATCGGCAGAGTTTCGGATTGCGAACCGACACCTCCCGCTACCTCCAGATCATGACTTGTGCGCTGCTGCAACACGCACTCTCACGGCTTTCGCCGTTCCCCACAAAGTCTTGGAGCCGGACGCTGCGGCCAAGAAGTTACTTCAGGCCACATGCACCCTCTGCAACATCAAAGCATCTTTAGCATCTGACGAGGGCGACTACGACTGCGCTGCCAGATGGGGTGCGGGTCCATGGAAAGTTGGTGTCCTAGCAGGGCTGCTCTTCGGCTTCGATGTGTTCGTCGGCCAGATCGACCCGGCCACCGTCGCAGCCAGTCCTCGGTTGTCACTTCAACGGGAGCACATCCGCAGGGCGAAAGAACTCCACGGCCTCTTGGAGCATATGCGAGCTGCCTGGGCTGCTAACAGCGACGCCTTCACCGCGCCGGAGCAAATTCTTCTCCAAGATCCGGAGTTCGTTGCTGGCTTGGCGCCAGGCCATGGGCGGCTGCCGTCCCAGATGGAAGAGCTACCGCAGCAGCAGGAGGAGGAGGCTGCTGCAGCGGCTGCCTTTCCTGCCGACGCTGCTGGGAATGTGCCTGCAGCGTGGGAACCAGGCCAATTGAATGTCATTGAACGTTTGTGGGAAGAGCTGGAGCTCGAGGATCTCCCGGCAGTGCCTCCCCATGTTGATCAAGTGAACATCATCATGATGGACATGGCTGTCGGCATGAAAACAGGTTACGGAGCTCACGGCGCCAGCGTGCAAGTGTGGCCCGCGGACCAGACCCCATGGCTCTCAGATCGCGAGGTCATGCAGAAGCTCCTTCTTGTCGGGAAGCCCGAGATTCCCCTTCGCGAGTTTGCCTCCAAGCTGCGCCGCTACAACAAGGTCGAGGCCAAAGCCAAGAACCAGCCGAAGGACAAGAAGGAGCCGAAGATCAGGGCGAAACAGACCCCGCAATGCTTTCCAAAGAGTATGTTAGAGCAAGTCGTGGAAGCCGGCTTGAATCTTTACCCTGTGGGGAAGCTTGTAAGCAAAGGCAAAACGGACGCGCGGCTGGCGCTTTTCAAGCCACCGTCGCCGGAGCAGGGGCGACGTGCGGTTGTGGCTTACCACAACCTGTTAATGAATTTGTGCCAGGTCACAGGACGGCAGCTCCGCAATCTGTTGATTCAGAATGCGGGTCCGCGTCCGGAAGAGCTGGTCGAGTGAACCAAATTTGGCTGTCACATTCTGTGACCTGCTGCTCGACACTTATAGTTACTTGGTGACTTTCGTCCATGCAGTGGCAGGTCTGCGCGATTCGTAGTCAAGTTCCAGGCTTGCAAGCATAAGTCTGCAGACAGTACACGTGCATTTGATGTGCAATTCGTAATTCGTCCTGCTATATAATTCAACCGACTTCGGCACCGCGGCAAGCGTGTCCGTTACTGGCCGCAAAATCAAAGTACGAGTTTTTGCCAGGTTCTGCACCCGCAGCTGCCAGTCTGGAGCACTGTTCTTTCTTGCTTGAACGTATCTTTGCAGGCAGCTGCACCGCGCCGATGTACCGCGGGGCACTGAGGCAACTGCTTTCGGTACTGAAAGGATCATGGGACTTAGTAACTAGGGTGATAATTACGGTAACGATGATTATAACTACTTATATAACCCCAATTAAGGTACTTATAACCTTACTTACTAAGTCCCATGATCCTCCAAGTAGGGTTCTCAGGTTGTTCAAAATTTTTTTAGAGGTCAACAGCGCCATATGGATTTCGGGACTACTTCTAGTCGGCTACAGACCAACATGTGCTTGCAAGCCGGCCAGCCTCGGTAAACGCTCCAAGTTCGGAGTATGCAGCTTCACATGAAGAATACGCTCGTTGAAACAACACTTTTCGCACATGGATGCATGCACGTGGGCTCATATATATATATATATATATATATATATATATATATATATATATATATATATATATATATATGCACACACAAAATCCCACGCGAAACCCGCGCGAAGGGCGCGACACGCGCGAAGCTAGGGTCCGAAGCGCGCGAAGCGCAGGGCGTGCGAAGGGCGCGAAGCGCGCAAATAGCCGCGCGAAAAACCGCGCGAAGCCACGCGAAGGGCGCGAAGCGGCGCGAAGCGCGCGAAGCCGCGCGGAGGCGCGCGAGAGGCGCGAAGAAAGCGCGCGAAGCGCGCGCGCGCGAAGCGCGCGAAGCGCGCGAAGCGCGCGAAGGCGCGCGGAGGTCGCGAAGGCGCGAGGCGCGCGGAGGCGCGAAGCGCGCGAAGCGCGCGAAGGCGCGCGAAGGCGCGCGAAGCGCGCGAAGCGGAACAAGCCCCAGCAAAACCCCTTACCAAGCAGAACACTCGGACAGAGACCTTCGTTTTGCTGCACTCCACACGCAGTTCCGGTCTTGAGCCAAATCGGCACAAAGTCTTCCAGCAAACCAAGGTGCAAACGACCTAAAGGTGGCTCGGAGCTCTCTAAACAACCTCCCTTTTTTTCCAAAAGCACCCTGGTACTACCGAAGCTCCTCAGAACGTCCGAAAACAGGGAAAACCTACAGGACCTACGGCTTTAAAAGCGAAAAGAGTCGCTCACACTCCAAGTGCCAGGAAACTAGCCGAGAACTGTTCAGGTTTCTACAGATGAGCCGGACGCCCACCATATCCTCCCAAACAGAAGATATACGTTTACAGTGGGTTAGCCTGTTCGGCTTCCAGGCGAAGAGTAAGAATATTTTTTCCGGAATTGCACACATCGCTGCAGCCTCAACTGCCTGCAGGAAAGTGAGCACCGATGTTGGGTGAAAGCCCACTCCAGTTCTTTCTCCAAGCTGCGCATGGGCAGGTAGGCCCGCATTGCGGTGACATCAACTTGCAACGGGAGCTGCTTGCCAAGAGTCGATTGTGTTTTGTCCTTGGTGTTTTGGGCAGCTCTGATTGACGGCTCATTGTTGCTCCTGACTGGTCGTTCAAGCTCCGTAGTTTGGGCTAACACCGGATGTGACTGTGCGCAGCCCTTTGCAGAGTTGTGGAGGCTCGACCTAGCGAAGCCAGAATTGCTTGTGTTTTGCGGGCCTTAATGGGTTGCCCGACAGCCTCATAACTGTGCAGCTTTGAGATCGTACAAAGACAGGGAAATTTTTCGAGAGGTGACTCAGCATTCTGAACAGAGCAGAGTTATGGATCGAGAAGGTCGGCCGGAACAGATCATACAAGAGCGGCGGAATTTTCTGGAAGGTATCTCCACCAGATCTGAACAGGACTTCTTGAGGTGCAGAGTTATGGTGTCGAGAGGTGTGGCTGACGGTTCCGAATTTGTGCACGGTGCTTAACTCCAAAACCCCCTCATGCACGACATAAGCTCACCTGGCTCTCGCCAGATTTTTTTTGCTCTTTTAGCAGAGACCCATTTGCAACATTTCTGCCTCTGCCTTGCTTCCGGTTGCATTTTCTGTTGCTAGATCGGCTGTTGCGTTCCCTCAAAAGAACAGTCCGAAACTGCACTTTTCGCTGTCGCACCGGAGGTTGCACCTCTTCTTCATTTCTTGTTGCTCTTCGAGCCAGTTCGTGGGCCACTAGTGTCGCTGAAGTCCACTTTGGCTGCAGATCAACTGCAGCACGCGCGGCTCCAAATGTGGGGTCACACAATCTCAGAAATTTTGGCTTCGCTTGAGTGGCGCTTCTCTTTGTTCTCTCATGTCTTCAGTTCCACAAACAAGCTGTCTGTTGGAAATTCTGGTTCTTGGAGAATGAATTTCTACACTGGTCTGGAACGCACGAGCTTGGGCTTGGACTTGGCTCCAGAATGAGGAATTCGTGACCCCAAAATAGGGGCCGCCAAGCGGACCCGATTTTGGGGTCCTTGCTAGTTGCCAGTCAAAATATGTTAAAAGAAGGTTGGCTGCATTTCGTTTTGATTCCTGCACAGCGGCTGAATTTCGTCAGCTGCGCATGTCATTGATTGTAATGACTTTGGGGAGCGTCTGGTGGAGGACCGTTTGGAAGGTCGGAACTTGTCCAAAGCAGCTGTGTGCTCGCTGAATAGTGCTGCAGCCAGCGGAATGCAACTGTGGAGAGCCGACCTGGCGAAGCCAGAATTGCTTGTGTTTTGCGGGCCTCAAAATGGGGTCGCCCGACAGCCCCATAACTGTGCAGCTTTGAGATCGTACAAAGACAGGGAAATTTTTCGAGAGGTGACTCAGCATTTCTGAACAGAGCAGATCAAGCCATGCAGAGTTATGGTATCGAGAAGGTCGGCCGGAACAGATCATACAAGAGTGGCGGAATTTTCTGGAAGGTATCTCCACCAGATCTGAACAGGACTTCTTGAGGTGCAGAGTTATGGTGTCGAGAGGTGTGGCTGACGGTTCCGAATTTGTGCACGGTGCTTAACTCCAAAACCCCCTCATGCACGACATAGGCTCACCTGGCTCTCGCCAGATTTTTTTTGCTCTTTTAGCAGAGACCCATTTGCAACATTCCTTGCCTCTGCCTTGCTTCTGGTTGCATTTTCTGTTGCTAGATCGGCTGTTGCGTTCCCTCAAAAGAACAGTCCGAACTGCACTTTTCGCTGTCGCGCCGGAGGTTGCACCTCTTCTTCATTTCTTGTTGCTCTTTGAGCCAGTTCCTCCGTGTAATCGGAGTCTTGGATTGCTTCATGGTTGCATGTCTCTTTCAGAAGGTGCATTCCGCTGTCACAAACCTCCGCCTTCGGAGGTTTTGCTTTAGCACGACATCGCTCGCAACAGGCGCTTCCAGTCAAAGGCATGCTGGTACCCACCAAAATCTTTCGTTGCTCAGCAAATTCCGCATCTTCGCGTTTCACAGAGTAGTGCCGCCTCCGCCCAACACAGGCCCGTGGAAGTTTCTGAATTCTGGAAACATGTCGTGCGGTTGAGACACTGTAGGCATACCCGCCATTCACGGGAAGTAGGGCAATATGCGCAACTGGGAAAAAACTCGCTTGGCACAGTCTTGTTCTGTACAGTTGTTTTGTTATTGGCATTGTTGTAGTTCTCACTGGGATCCAGTGCAGCAGCTGCTGTCTTTTGTCCGCCCACGCCAAAAAAAAGCTCCAGACGCTGTAGGTGAAAAGTGCCATGATCTTGGTGTTTTCGGTCCTCAAACTGTTAGAAAGGCTTTTAAGTCAGATTTGTGACTGCACTCGTTTTGTCTCGTTTCGTTTTCTTCGAATGCTTTTGGCACAAGAAAAAGATTGAGTGCTGCACGCTCTGTTTTTCCACATGGTAGACAAGCTGTGAAGCGCCACGGCCGCACCAGTGCAAGGTGGAGGGTTCTTCCAGAACGTGCCTGTGCCTGAGACAGACATGGACTTTTGACCTGTTTGGACCAGATCCTGTTTGTCCTGTGAGTCCGCCTGCAGCTCAAGAGAGGAAGTGTTCCAGCTGAGAAAGTGTTCTAGCTGTGTTTGGAACGCTTGTTCGGCCACTAGTGCCGCCGACGTCCACTTTGGCTGCGGACCAACTGCAGCACGCGCGGCTCCAAATGTGGGGTCACACAATCTCAGCAATTTTGGCTTCGCTTGAGTGGCCCCCCTCTGAGCTTCGCTTTGCTGTTTCACCGCTTTGTTGTAGTTTGATGCTTGGATTGTAGTTTCGCTTGTTTGTAGGGACCGAGTGCTACAGCCGTAGTCGACGAGGCCCAGTCAAGCCAAAAAAAACTTGCATTGGGAGCTGCTCCGTCGACCGCATTAGCAAGTGCGAGTAACTGTGGCATTGGGGTCCAAATTAACTCCAAATTAATCAACCAGTGCAGCCCTCCAGTGCGGAGCGGAGCAAATGGTCGCTCGGGCAGAGTCGGACGGCTGCCAGCGGCACAGAAAATCCTCAGAGGAGGCTATGATGACCCTGCAACCCATGGACAGGGATCTCATGGTGGCTTTGTTTTATAAGGCCGTCAGAGGCTTCGACCTCGTCCACGCCGATGATGGCGCCGGCCCGCAATGACACGTGGCAAATCGTTTGCTCGAAGCAATGCTGCGGCCCAACTGGGTGCCTGGCGGGGTCCTATAAACAAGCGGGCCACAGCTTCGGCGAGGCTTGGCTCGTCTGGGTGCTACACAGCATACTGCTCCCCCTTTGCCAAATCCAGCTTGTCCATGCTTTGCTGTGCCTCAATTGTGTCACCACTTACCCGGAAGTGGCTTCTACCGCTGCTCAACTCCGGCGAGGCGCAGCTCACACTTGCAGGAGCCGCG